AACTAATCCAACATTTTCATAGTTGGAAGCGTAAGTCAATTGAAGCTAGACCACCAGAGAAAATCTAGAAGCACTGCTTGACGGCCAACTCGTCCCATTGTGGGACTCCTCAGCAGTGCGCATCCACGATCCCGCCTCACGAGATCCGAACCCAGAATCTATCAGTCTCGCACCTGAACACTTAACCGAGAGATAAATTCCGGCGTTCTAGTAAGAAGCAGTGACCAGTGAGGTTCAACCACGTCTGTTGTGAGATTTCAACTCACTGAAGACAATTGGTAAATGGTTGCTCCAAATCGTGGATTGGTTGAAATTAGACATTAACACCGTAGGATACCGACTCAGTGGTCTATCGGTTAAGTGCTCTAGCGCGAGACTGGTAGGTCCCGGGTTCGAATCTCGCTCGTGAGGCGGGATCGTGGATGCGCACTACTGAGGAGTCTCACAATGGGACGAGTTGGCCGTCAAGCAGTGCTTCCAGATTTTCTCTGGTGGTTTAGCTTCAACTGACTCACGCTTTCAACTATGCAAATACTAAATCTCCACAAAAAACCCCTTTGATAATAATAATAATCCAACATTGAAGATGATTGAGAATAAATATGTTAAGATTTATATATTTATAGAAAATAGGTTAGAAAATGAAATATTTCGGTGAGTAAACAACTCGTTTATTTTTTAGAAATATTTTGACCTTTTATGCTCAAATATTATTATATAAAAGTACATTCTTATTGTCGTAGTAACTGTTTTGCCACCATCTTCATTTTGCCTAGGACAAAAGAAAATCTAATTAAATCACAAACTCAATCGAATTACTCGTGATTATAATCTAACCATAAGCTGAGATTGTAAATTTTGTTTCCCTACTCCGATCTATCTCGGTTAAATGTAAATAACTAGAATAAAAACAGTGAATAAGAGAAGTTTTCATTTATATTAGACAGTAATATACAAACACTTCACTTCTACCCGAAGTTTGTGCTGATGATGTCGTTCAGAAGGACGATGAAAGCTCCACAATCAAACCATCCAGCTCAGAGAACAAACCCACATCAAAAACAGTAATATAGTTTGATTCAATAGATGAAAATATCAATGCAGATATTGAGAATGAAGTGATTAGTAGAAATGATATTAGTTCAACAGAAAAACGACATCTAATCTTTTACGAATGTATTAACCTATGCATAAAAACTAATTGGTCACATTAATTCGATTTATGAGATTTCATAAACAGTTCATGTTTTCCATCAGTTTAATGGAGACATTATAAGCACCAGAAACATCTATTCCAGGTTAAATCGATATTTAAACATCAGTTTATTCTTTGGCAAGAATTCGTTCAATGAACTGCTTTAAAATCAGAAGAATGTTCTCATTAATTTACTAAGTTTTCAATCCTTGGGTAACTTAAAGCCCTTAACATTTTCAAACATTCATTAATGACGATACATGATTTACTTGTAATTCCTTTTGAAGTTTTAATATCACACCTACTGGTTATTCAACCTAGCTTAAGTTACTTCGTTTGTAAATTTCAATCCTTTCTAATAACTATTATATACATTTGGAAGTTGATTATTATGATTAAGATAACGTGATGCTAGTTAAATATAAGAATTAAATTTCTTACGTGAAAGCAGTTATAATGCTGGGATAGAATGAATTCGTTTGCTTTGGAGTTTATCAGCAAACCATTTGCTTGATGAGAAAACCAATGACCTCTTGAAGATTTTAACCCGCGTCACTTAATATTGCAGTCAGACATAACAGGTGAGCTTGACAAATAACCTGTATTACAATTATTGTTGACGAGCATCAAGAATATCATATGGTTTACTCTTTTAATGTTGATAAATTTCTACAAAGTTTGGTGTGTGAACTGAAAACTAAGTAGCTCAACACCATAGTCCGGTTTATTTATGAAGATGTGATTCTGAGTTTACAAAGTGAGAAATAGTCGCTTCAAGGACATAGAGACTCAATCAGATGGATACTTAATAAACTTGCAACTACTCAACATTAACTAAAAGACGTTATAATGTCAAGTCACTAACTCTAAGAACTACATTTTGAAATTCAGTTTATTAAACACCAAAAGATTGAAGCCTTTAACGCAAATATAGGATTTATCTGTGTACTAAATATATTCGACACTATACAATCAAGTCTACCTATAAATTTGCATGATTGCACGACAATAACCTTTCGGAACCATTTCTCCATATCTTCCAAAAAATTACACTCTCAAAAACCCTGAGTTATCATTCTTAGGAAAAACCTAAGTCAGTCAAACTATGTATAGAAGTGGAGAATTAGATAAAAATAATAATCTGATTTCGCCATCCAATTTGTAACATTTTGTGCGAACAATAAATAACTTTATATCAACGCTTGATGAAACTTGGTTCCGAAAAAAGCATGCAGTTTTACAAGCCAGACCAGAGAACGAAACTCCACAAAAATACAGTTTTACTGATAAATTCTCTTTGAGCCAATATATCACAGTGAAATTGTATCATGACAAAGATACTTTGTGGATGTCTTGAATCAGTGTAAAAATAGCTGGGATGCGTTTCATATCCGTTGAATGCAAAGAGTCGTTTCGCTCTGAAAAAAGTAGTGCAGTGGCTGAATTATCAACAAAACTATTTATACTAAGAATTACACGTTGATAAAATGGTGGGTGGTAAGAATTTTACGCAAGTATGAAGGACTTATTTACCTAAACCTACTTACACTACTACTGTCACAAACGGGTTATCCTAATCCATTTTAAACCTCCCTTATGCATCAATTCGGAAATGAAACATTGATGATTGGATATGATGGCTTACATAGGAAATATTCTTAAGAATATTCTACGTGTTTTATTTTATTTCCATTCTATGGATTGATCATATTTTTAAGTTAGTTGATTATGTTGAATTATTTTTTCTGGTTAGCGTTTTTTTAGCGAGTCTGGTTTTCTACGGGATGGGGTCGCTAACCCCATGCCCAACCCTCCTCCTTTACCCGTGCTTGGGACCGGCAGTAGCCCCCGGAGGTGCTACAGGCGGAGTTTTGAGGGATGTAATTGTATAACAACTGGAAAGGATTGCCCACGACAGAGTTGGATGGAGAATGTTGGTGAGCGGCCTATACGCCTCCACGAGGGGTAACAGGCGTAAGTAAGTAAGTGATTATGTTGACATTCTATCATTTTCAGAAAATTTATAAAAATTAATCTTCTTCCATGGGAACTCTATACAATGGTAGATTAACTACTTAACAGTTTAACAACAATGAAATTTCTGTGAATTGTTGATAATTGCAAATGAAACAACAGAATGAATATAATAAGAACAATTTATTTATATGATTAAAATCAACCGAATAAAAGTAGTACACCACCACAAATGCATTGATTTTCTCTTCATATGACTATCTCAAACGTAAAGTCAAATCAAAGAATAGTAATCCAAAGTTCCAGTTTACCATAGTAGTAGTAGTGATCATTATAATAATAACAAATATCATGGAATATTGAAGTAAACTATTGTTGTTGTTTTTTTTGAGTTTGAGTATACATGTATATATAAACATAGAGGAAAGATTGATCCAAAGCTCTTTATCACTGAAACTTTTTAAAGAACTTTAGTTTACAAACAAACAAACAAAAAGACATACGTACCATGTACCCATACATAAAGAAATAATTATGAGATCATTTTTTTTGGATTATAATGAAAATAAGTGAACAACAAGACTAGTATCATTTGAATTAAATACTTGGTTCATCAAATTTAGGTTTTACTGTTACCAACCACTTGAACAAAATAAAATGCAACAAAAAAGGACATTTCATTCTTTTAAAAAAAAACGTAGTACGTATGACATTGTAGAAAAAAAAAGGATAGTAAAAATGATAATGACAAGAGGAGAAAATAGCGAATAATGATAGTAATTAACTGAGATAATATTGAATATATATAAAAATATGTGTGTTATATCATTAAAAGTTTCTCTATCCTGTATCATTTTTTTACTGGGTTGATAGAAAAAAAAACACAAAAAAAAAACACAACGAAGCGGAATAAATGAATAGATAGACAAAGTTTAGTAGATCAGAAATTATATGCGACAATCAGACAGTCAAATAGTACGATCATTATTGTCATCATTGTGTTATTATTCAATACATATATGTGGTCTTGATTAACAATGTAAACGAAAATGTAAAAAGGGGGGAAATAAATGTAAAGTATGTTTGTGTTTGCATATACACAGATACTAATTAATAAATTATTGACTAGTTGTACCAACAAAAAAAAAACATAATTTATCATTTAGTGAATACAAAAAAGGTATGTAAAAGATAAAATGGAATATCCTATGATAGGGATAGGCCAAAAATAGAAACAAAAGCTAAACAAATGAATATAGAGTAAACACAGAACATATATTAAAAACGAATGTAATATATATATATCCATATTGAGTATGGAGCAAAATACACGGTACTCATAATTACTTTTATTACTATAACTGACAGCAGTTAAACAAAAATACCTTGTCAAATTAGTATCTATTTCTCCAAGCATACTATCATGTACATTAGGAATAGGGCAGTTATCATTATTAAGTGGAAATAAAAGAGGCAAAATGCACATACAAACAAACAAATAGACAATGAATGGAACACATCATACATTGTCAAGTGTGTAGAACAACAACAACAACAACAATTGGAAAGTGTACACACACAGTGTATACAATTGTGAGAAATACAAATTAGAAAATAATTTAAACAAACCATGATCATTGTTAGATTCCCCTTTTCTTTTCAACCTCTTTTCCATACCACTTCTTCTAGTTTATCCTTCTGTTTATTGAGAAAATGCATTTTCATTACTTTGCTTTTAAAACAAACTAATCAACGTCATAAATATTGTCTTTTATTGTCTACAACACCGAGATTTTTATATAATAATAATAATACGTAGGGATTCTGCTATTTAAAAATAAGCTGATGGATCATGATTTTTGGGTGACCTTAATGCGATGCTCTGTTTGAAATCTGTCAGTTCTTTTGTCAATTTTAATCGAGTATAATAAGCTGACAATGAGCCAACAAATAGAGTCTGTGAAGGCAAACAAAAAATGGAGCAATAAAAAGAAGCTCGTTAATCAAACAGAATATTATGTTAGACTTCTATAAAGTTAGTACACTTTACAGTATAGGTTATCAAAATAAACAAAAGAGTTTGATGTTAGTCAGATATTAGTGTTAACTTGTAAAATGGGTGTAGCTGCTAATCGTAGCGCGTAGTTGATAAATCTTCTGACTGAACGCTTGAGTCGGTTTCTTAAGCTCTTTTAATAACCCCAGGCTAAGTCTACACAAATATGAAAAGAACGCCTTATTCTAAGGTTCGTTTATGTACAGAAAATTTAGGGTATTTACGGCATTTCAGACGGCCTACGGCTTCTGAAACGCTACTAAACATAGCAGGGCAGGTAATCATTCAATCAGAAATGCAATACGTAACTCTTCCCTTTCTAAATGTTTCTGAGAAACTTCTATCCAATGTTGATCAGATAAAATATTTACTGGAATTTACAGGGACCGTATAAGCATTTTTTGAGGAATAGTCTGGATCTCCCTAACAGTAGCAAAATAAAATCTGTATATGATTGTTGAGTCAGGCTTGTATTATGATATTACCTAACAATGATAATGATAAAAGCAAAATTATGCGCATTAGGCTTGATAAAAATCTTATTTGCTAGTAATTCATCTTTTCAAACATGAACTCTGAGTGCAAAAGAAACACGTGTAAGCCATCATTCGTCCGTGCCTCTAACACGGTAATCCGACTTCATTAACTCCTGTTTTTAATCTTTACATAACATATTTCTTATCCTTCCCATATCCGATTTCTTCCAATCATCTCTCCTCACTTCAATTTTCGATTAATCAACATTCTTTGACATATGATATGATGTAATCAACCTCTTGTCTTTCAATAGACTATTTTATTCGCAAATTAATTATAAATACGATTGTACAACTAGAGCAAATGATAGTCTCGAAAAGAAAAATTTCCTCCTTAATTGTCGTAATTCTTCTTCAATGACACCATACATTACTTTCGTTAATTTTACTAAAATCCTGTATGATAAGACTAAAATAGTAAAGTGTTTAATAAGTCTGTAAGCAAATAAAATAGACAAAAAAAGAAAAGTACAAACGTACCAAACCAAGTAGAACAAAAACAGCACCGCCAAGTGAACAAGCAAAAAGTGGACCCACTATCATAACCTAGATAAATGGGAAAAACGTTGTAGAAGCAAATGTGAATGTGATAGATCAGAGTAAATTGAAGGTAATAAGATTCATTCGTATTTCATAAGTTACATCACGAACTGATATTGATTAGACAGTCACTGAAACTGAAGAAGCACTGGACAGCTGTTTTGTCCTAACATGGGACCATACCTTGGCAATAAGAGAATGTCTTTTAAATATACTACACACAACTTTTATCGAGACTTTCGTGACTATGACAGGACCGAAAAGTTAACTATCCATCTTATGTACAATAGGAGAGAGATAACCAGAACATCGTTAAATTAGAAACTGAGTTAGAATGAATAAATAATTAGAGTATTCGAAATAGGATTGCAATGATTACCGACATTTAGAGTTATGACAATAGGTCTCACATGAAACAAATAGCTAAGAATTACTAAAATAGGGAATTCTGGAAGGGAGTAAGCATTAGTAGTTATTAGTCTATTAACTAAATAAATGCGGCTCAGAACATGTGCAATTTCAGTCACATTTTTTTACCTGAAAGGTAGAAATAGTGTTTTGATTGAATTTGAGCTAGTGACCTAATAGATACAAGTTTAAGTGTTCAAATCATTTGTCACCACAACTAGGACTTATCATAATAATAATAAGGCTTGACCTGAAGGTCTGCACTGACCGACATGGCTCACACTAAAAATCAATAACTCCATGATCAAATGTCATATTTTAGTTTGGCTGCCGTTTCCAGTCTTAAACCGACCTGCTAACATATATGAGGTATCTAGATTTAGAAAATTGTGAAAAGCCAAGCACGTTGTTCACATTCGTGTCGAGAATTTGTCAGTCAATAGTCCACCATGACTGATGCAATATATATGTAACTTCGTATTGTGCATTAAACGTTAATTGTCCAACATCAGTTATACCCAATCATTCTATAGCAATTCATTTCCTAGTATTCCTCATTATTTTATTTATTCTCTAATTGCTTTTCAAGGTGTACTTTTAGTCCACCTACTATCTCATTCCATATTGATACAGTTAGTACTAACACCACAAGTATATACTTGCCATTAATCAGTAACATAAGGATAAGTTAAACTTACTTCGTCACAAAATCTTGCGAATTCATTCAGAGAAGTAATAGCTTCACGATAATTCAGTGACTCATCATACATCCATGGTTTAATATAAACACCTAGAAAAAAAAGAGAAATATAGTGTACCCATAAAACACTGACACAGCACTAGGAAAACAAATAATTAATTTTCAATGGTAAATTTATAAAATGTTTGATATCACTTTAATAAGCTGGAAATGTTCAACTCACTGTGTTCACTAAACAACTCTCTTTGTTTGTGGTTGTATTAGTAACGACAGATTTGTATAGCTGTTTAACAAGACGAATTTTTCTCCAAATTATCAGTTTATACTTTAATATATATCGTTTATTATTTAAAGTTACGTAAAATGTTTGTTAGCAGTGAAGGTTTTCAAAATGTTGTTGAGATCATTGCTCAAAAAGACGATCAGTCTTTTGAAAATCTGCATAAACAAGAATGAATATCTATAGCGGTCATCACATTCATTTAAACTATTATTCAGCTGTGGCGCAACATAATAAGGAATAGAGGCGCTTCAAGGTCACGACACACTTATCAAAATAGAACGTTATCTATTGAACGTAGATGATAAGTACTGATGACGAAAACATTAAATATCTAAGGTTAGGGTTAAGGATTAAATGTAGAGTTTAAGTTTAGGACGTACAGTTTAAAGTTAGAATAAAGGTTAAATATAAATTAAGCGTAAAGCCTAATCCCAATACTAAATTATAACTTCCACTCATGAATCCTGATTGTAACTGCAACCATAAATTCTAAATTCTACATCCTGATCATAGTTGTAACCCAAATTCAAATTTTAAAATCTACATCATAATCTTAAATCACAATTGTAAATTTTGAGCCGTAATCATTACTCTGAATTCCATTGCTAAAACCTTAATCCTAGTTCTAGCATTACAAATCATTTATTTCCAATTGTTGTTTAATGGTTGGCTGAATATGATCAGAAATCTGTTACACTAATGATTTTCTCACAGTTGAACGTTACTGAAAATGAGTGTTTCACACAGTACATACACAGGCATTAGGATATTCATTTCAAATAGATGGGAACTTGATGATCGATAGGCTTATTCGTACTTTTCAAAATCCCAATTCTAAATACATGTATTACATTGGAGTTAGAAATCGTTACATTAAATCATCTGTCAACAAACCCAATACAACTATTCAGTTTGAAATTCTGATAAAGCAGATAAATGTTCTTATCGCAGATTCGAGCATCAATATTGAACAATTGGAATCAACTGTTCTGAATTACTTGAACTAGGCATATTAGTATAAAACTCGGTACTTGTTTAGAAAAATGATATTCAAATGGAATATTATAAATATTTCTTTTACAAACAAACTATTTAATGATCAATCAATTGTAGAATTATTCGATCAAATATTAGTGGCGATGTTCAAAAAGCGTATGTTTCTGTCGGAAAACAAGCGCTGAGAAAAATGAGATTCTGAGAGACAAATACTTGCCATAGATTCACTTAAATGATACGGATGATGGTATTATTCCTGATTTTACCGCTGCGTTAACATCTATTTTGTTAGATGCATAGAAATTATTCCAAAGCCACTCATTAAACTAGAAAAAGACCCATAACATTTTAAGGAATATAAAAGATAAATAAATTATAAGTTTAGAATTATGAAGGGGGATTTTTCAGTACCAAATAAATAAAACGCTTTACTGATACATAATATATGCAACTATACGATTTTCTAATCTGTCGTTCAAATGATATTCTGAAAGCCAAAAATAAAATGTTCCTCTAACCAGAATTACAACTACGAATAAATTACAGTTTCATATTATTTTCAAATTACCTAACAATATTCTTTAACTAAGAAGAAATCGGTGAAATGCTCGGGGTAAAAAAATGTAACCGGACACTATAATGCAATAAATGACCCTAATAGTAAATGGTTGATATCTATAGGTGTAATTTTCATCGATGTAAGTGTATTATTCAAAGAAAATGAACGTATAAAAGGTTAAATCTATTTTTATGAGGATTTCGTCAGTTAACTACAATTATGAAAGCTTTAGAAAGAATACTGAGTGAATATACACTTGTATGTATGAAGTGTATAAAATGATTGATTTTGTGAATCATACCCTAATTTATCTTTGTTTAAATACAATCTACGCTTCCAAATGCCCTGCTACAGTCAAAAGTGGGGAGAGTCAGCTCACCCTCTCCAAATGCTTTCGCGAGACCACGCGTATATAGCCACTGTCAGGGAAGTCCTACTCCCTGCCTTCTCGTAGCGGGGGTGTTGTTTACAAAATTGAGAGGGAAAGAAGCGAATGTCCGGCGCTTTAACCGGGTTAATGGATATGAAGGATCTACCTAGAGAAATTGGAAAAGCCTAACTCCAAACGAACGATGCAGATGGGCTCCAGGATCCTGAGGAAACAAATGGCGTATGACCCTACTGTTCGTCACAGGGTACCATTGAACTTCATCTCCTAACGCTGCTACACTGCCTTGTGGATTAAACCTTCAGGTCAAAGGCTCGAGGTGTGCTCACCTAAGAAAACCATCCGCCTCGGTTTGGGCACCCGGGCAGTAACCTAACGTTCACACAAATTAATGGTAACTACTACTAATCTCATTGTTATTGTGTGGCGCATATGTATTGTGTGACCCTTGTACCAATGTTTATGTGTTTTAATAATAAATAATGCAACTAACCCTTATACACTGGACAAGATTACAGTCCAGTACATAGCGAAGACGTACTTACATCATTATTATTTATAAAATTAAATGGACAATGCTCCCATCATGCCCACTGATTCGAATTCATATAGGTTCGTCTATGGAATATGAACTAGTTACTATTTTATACCAAATGGTTTAGTAACTATAAGAAAACAATATAAACATGTAAATGGTTTATTAAGCACAAGATTAGGAAGTAGCATTAATAATAATGCCTTCAAAAACATCCTTACCATAATGTGTCAAGTTAAAAATGTAGTTGAAATCAGGAGAATAATATCGATTGGCGTGATAATTTGGTAGATTGGGCGAGTTTCCCAGATTAACGAAAGGAGGTCTGAAGCTGTTCTGAGGGTCGGAAGGATTATAGCCTAAATTGAGATTTTGATAATAGTAGGCAAGACGAGCTGTATACGTTTCCGCCAGATAATCTTTACGATCTCGTAACTCTGACAGAGAAGGAGCAACACGGCCATCAGGACCAGGACGTCGTGCACCTGGTCCATGCCAAACATCAGCTAACTCAGCAGTACAAATCGAGTTGAACATTGCCCAACAAAATGTAGGAACAACAAGGAATGCTAGAAATATTAACCATACAATTATGGTTACATATGTGGTGCACATGAACTAATTTTTTTAAGGAAAAGGAAAGAAAAAAATTGAAAAAATATAATAATGAAGTGCAAAATAGTGTAATGTCTCATAAAAATATGTTAGCTAATTATAAATATAAGACCTAACAATAACTACAGAGATACATACTCTTATTTCGAAAGTACCATTGATAATTACAAAAAACTCCACATCCTTGGCTGGAAAATCTATCAGTAAGTCAATCCCCCAATACTTCGGAAGCACTGAGAATTGACTTTATCAGTATGTCAGTGACAAAAATATGTAAAAATGGGTAAACTGAATTTTCAATGCAAACATAATTAGTTTTGTCAAGTTAAATAATAATCATAACCACTCAAACAATTATGGAAGTTTCAGTAGGAAGCCATTGGAACTGTGAAATAGATGTTTGGTAATTCGATTAATCGACAAATGTAACCAAGAGATATTTCAAACAACTGAATAATTTCCGATGTATTGATGAATGTCGACCAATGTTCCTTAGAATATTCTGGCATATCCATTTTCTTAACACTGTCATCTAGTAGAAAGGTTTTTGACGTAGGTTTGTTCTTCTGAGCTGGATGGTTTGGTCGTGGAGCTTTCATCGTTCTTCTGAACATCATCAGCACAAACTACCCGAAGTTTGTGCTGATGATGTCGTTCAGAAGGACGATGAAAGCTCCACGACCAAACCATCCAGCTCAGAAGAACAAACCTACATCAAAATCGCCCACCTGAACTACAAATCTTCTCCACCAGTAGAAAGGTTTACTTGAACACACAATAGTTGTACGCAAATAAACACTCTAAGAAACATTTTATGAATTTTAAAACAAGCAACATCAATACTTTTATTCGCTTTTTGTTATACATGTTTGAATAATAATAACCTGAAAAAAGATTCGACTGGATAAAAATGGTAAACAATGATGGAAAACTTATTTTTCCCTACATTTTAATTACACGTGATGATTAAGTGACGTTGTGAATGTAAACTAAGAAACAAATAATATTCTCACACTCTGATCCCATAGTCAACTGATGACCTTAAAATTATCCAAATCCCTTCCGAAGCGTTCGTTTTCTTCGGGGGATAGAATTAGATACAAAATCATGATAAAGACCATATTTTTAGTAAACTAAAAAACAAAACTCAATGCCCGCTACCATCAAATATGCATAGAATGTGACTATTTGAAGAAACATCAATTGACATGGTGTAAGTGGATTCTGTCAAGGGAATAAAAGGTATTTCAGTACACTTGATTACAAACAATTCCAAACTAAAAAGTAGATAAACTGTAAACTTTTAGTACATTTCAAGGGTATTTGCTCTACGAATCAAAATTAACCGCTAATCCGTATCAAGAGCCATTGATTGACTTATAATCAATGGGTTGTAGGTTGCAACCGAATCTAACTAAGATTTGAGTAGCTTTTAAACAGTAAGTACGACTCGTAGCCTGAGAGGTAGGCTTGAGTTGTGTTTATTGAAATTTAATCTACTCAACTGATTAGTTGTTGGATGTTGTTGCCTACAAACTAGGAAAAATTTTTAGTATAGGAGTTTGTGGAGATTTTCGGATTTTATAGTTGAAATTACTGGCTGATCCGGGTCCTTGATGTAAACTACTAAAAATAATTTGTCTCTGATGACTCCGGGGTTACACTTAGAAACCCTGGAAAATAAACCACATAAAAGCATAACATCTTATGACTCTCTACAGACGATAAAAGAATCCTAGTAAATTATGTGCAGGCACACATACACACGATTTATAGCAAACAAACCGACTCGCCGAAAATAATTACAAACTTCTTACTAGAGCTGCTGAACAACGCCCACCCATAATGTAGCGATCACCACGATAGATGCGGCCACGAGTAGCATTATTCACAAGTGTTGAGAAAATTAGTATAAGAAAAGCGAGTAGAACGGCGACTGCCCCATTCACAACTGCAGCTATTCTTAGATAAGGTAAACTGAAAGTTAAAGAACATTTGATATAACTAACAACAATGACTTCTAAAAAGGTCAGAAAGAAGAAAATCAAAAGCAACCCAGTGATCCAGTCGCAATCAACGTAGAACCTGGTACATGTGTACGTTGATTTAAGTCCCTATAGCTGTTAGCAGAATATAGATTGGATTAAAGCACGTTAAGTGCAGAAATATGTCGGTGCACGCTGATTGGCTATTTCCTAACCAATCAGCGCTAATGGATATTTGGAGAAGACTTTAAAATCTTCTCATGCAAAAGCCATAAATATAGTAACGTTTTCCTTATTGTGCTTCTTACTTCCATCTACTCTTGCTGTTTGGAATATAATTTCGTTCCTGTTCAAACATTTTCTGATTCAGGAGCTTGTCGAGTGAATTGGTGTCCAAGAATACTAAGCAATAAGAATAACTGGGTTGTAATAAGAGGAATTATAACAGTAACCGACTAACACTACGAGATGAATAGCGAAGAAAGAAAAATAATGTATTAGCAATGATAACTAAGGTGCAACTTTACAGAAAAGATGTTTTGAAAGATAATCAAAGAAAGATTGGTTGCCCGAAAATGATTAGTGAAGCTCATTGGTTTTCAATACTTATATCTAAGAAGCTCAGTAAATGGACACTATGGGATTAGTCATATGAAATATAAAAACACTCGCTAAAAACAGTGGGGCATAGTAGGACAGTTTTTTTCAATAAAATTCTCTAGCTATAAGGCCTATGATGGTTTATATTTTTATATAGTTGAGATTTACACCACCGGACCTTGAGGATTTAATTTGTAAACCAAAATTTCAGAAAAGTTTGTTAGTATATAAATCATGTCAATTCTACTAAAATTATAGATGAGACCGGATAGGTTTTACCGAAACAGATGCCCCTGATCGAAAATGATTTATGTGCAGTATCTTATAAAAAACGTTGATGCACTTCGTGAAATTGAATTTACTAGAGAATAATGGATATATAAAACCATTTAGATAATCAAAAAATAAAGTTTTGTGACCAATTAGTTACTGTTGTATTCCAGTTTGAAAAGTCAATCTGGAGTATTCACTTGGGAAATGTGGTGGCGATAGACTTTCACAAAAAGTACAAGCTATATATAGATGTATGGATCCTATTTCGTTTTGTTTTAAAAGGTTGTAAAATGCAGAGAATAATACTCACTGAATAGTGTACAATGTTAAATGTTGACCACAGTTTTAAGTTAAAATCAATTTGAGGATTCTCTGTAGTTGGTACAATTAGCAGTAACTTTACTAAAATAAAATGAATGCCAACATATTCTCCCAAATAAAATTATAAACAAAACATTAAAATGTTGTCAACTTACGAGTAAACAGGAAAAAAATACAACCGAAAGTATGTATCGATACGTGATATTCCAGAATAAATTGTACCACACAGAACACCACCTCCAACAAGTACTAGGATGAATCCAATCACCGAGTTATAAGGAACACGACCAAGACAGCTTCCTTTATCTAATGTAAAATTAATTATCTTGATAAAAATTACAAGAATATATTTGTCTGGACACCAAGAGTAACCAGTGGTCTGATAATTTTCAAATACTTTTTATGGACGGAAACGAAGTTAGATAATAAAGTTAGAAAAATTATGCTGCATAAAATCAACACATTGGTTTTGAGATGAAGAATTCGAAAACTAGTTAGGTGCAACTTATCTTAAAATAATGATGCAATAGCGTAAAGAACAGAAATATCAGTTGTTCGTTCATCACACCAAGATTGATTTTTATAAACGCCATCAAAAAATTAACTTCAGAGCACAGAGATGACAAATGTGTTACTAGGTTGCACATCGACAGGTTAAAAATGCAGTTTTCAATAAGATTATTAGTCAGAACTTTTATTTAGCCAATTCAGTGATATAACTGGGATACAAAACGAATCACTTTTTCATCTTGGATGAAATCGCCCTAATCCTATAAATACGTAAATCCCAGATAGATGTGGGAACTGGAAAAAAGGTTTATTACTTCAAAATCTCCGTAAGTAAAAGCAAAAAATAAGGGCATCAACCACGATCTTAAGGACATTCTGGTGCTACTAAGTAGTTGGAAGCAATTGACTAGACGTACTGAATCTAGTTTTTGTGCTGGTCGAGATTAATCGGCGAGTTGTTTCGGGGATCTTGATAGAACTCATGTTTTTTATAGGATTAGAAGCCATAATTAAACTTTGAATAGTTGTACAACTTCAGCCAACACAAACTGAGACTATGATTCATAGACCTTTGAGCGACGCTAAATGACCTTGAGGATAGCCACCTACTAACTAGAACTAAATGGGGGTTATAAACCAGTGTTAGGAATTATAATTATGATTCAAAGTTAAAGGTCAGGGTTAGGAATTAGATTTAGGGTTTTCATCACGAACTGACGTCAGCTGAAGTGCCAAAGCTTTATTTAGCCAAGTGGATGGATGAACTTTGCGTCAAAATCTCAGAGCTGTTATCTTATATCTGATTGGTCAGTCCACAAATTATAGTCTCGCCCTGATGAACATTTACTATAAACGTATAACAGACATTAAATATCGCAATTGACGATACACACAGACATATCTATGAGTAGGCCAGACGTCCATTTACTAAGGGAATTAAAGCGCAGTCATATTACTGTCTTTTAAGTAATTGAACGTGCATTACTTTGATCATCAAGCAACTACTTTTCAACAATCGCCAATGAAAACTTTTGCTTTGACGAATTATTATGGTACTTCTGACTGAAAATATGTATACAGAATGACAGTTGTAGCAAATATCGATATGACTATCGTAACCAATGGTTGGAGACACTAAGTGACATTGCCCAGAATCGATCACAATGGCGTAGGTGTATACACTCTTCATCTTCCCTTAAACTATGAGGTTAAAATTGCTCCTTATCTTTTTTTCTTTCTGTATTATGTCCTTATATAGAACCTTTGTATATATTACCACCATTAAATTATCTACTATGAATTCGGTGTTGATCTTGTTGTGCGAATGAGGTATGGCAACTTGGACCGATGTATATATGTGCCTCGTCCCACGTTGTAGCTGGATATTGCTTCTCCAAAAATCCGGCTGATAACAATTACTTGTCAAGACAGACGAGTTCAAAGCGTAAGATTATGTGTTTAGCAAAATCCACCATACTTTGGAGAAAAAAAAACTAAAGGTCGTATATAATGACTAATTACTCAATCAAGCCTAAAAAAACAATGATTAAAACATAAATCAACGCTCTTAACACTATGTACAATCGGTTTAATCTAGTCCTTTGATGGAGCAACATTATTTAACCCAAATGAATTGAGAAAAAACCAACTGAATTTTATGCAATTATGGTGTTCAGTTATGATTACAGCAAGAAAGCCATAGTCTACAAAGATATTTGCATCGAAGAATCAAAAGACCAACCACACTTTGAACAGCGACAAGATACATTTTCATTGGAGGGAAATTAGGATTTAGTGATTACCTTTCTTATCACAAACCATACCACTAATTTAAAAACAGAGGTTCCGACGAAGTGAAAAGAGACTGAAAAATTGAATATAAAAACTCTTATGATGGTTATTTTGAGAGAACTAAGACCCACAGAGTCCACAAACTTAATTGAAATTAAGAAAATCGCTGATATTTAAACCATTTTAGATAATAATCAGGTATCAAAAGTAAACGAGGAATAGTATAAAGAACCGACAAAAATTATTAAATACTATTCACGAACTATTTAAGACAAAGATGTCTCCCAGAATATAACCAGACTCACTATAGAGAAAACGCAGGAACTTACCCATCTAAAGGACATTTGAGGCGCAAATAACGAAATTAGCGCCTTCAAACTCCCTGGATTTAAATTTGTTTATCATATCACAGTATTACGACTAACAAGTTGCCAGCTATATTTATCCCGCTATTATTTATTAGTTTGTAGTCCCTTTTCAAGTTATTTAACACTTTAAATTTGTCTAGGGCTTAATGATTAAGAAATCTTTCGATGCACTGCATAAATGTTGGTACAGTTTTCTTGATGAAAGGAAAGCAGTATCACTCCTGTTCAAATATTTCAAGTAATTTCATAGAAGAATGTGGGGGTCAATGGATTCACGCGACAAATAGTTCTGTAGGTCATCGACATTGATACTGACCACATTGGTTTTACTCGGGACACCAACCTCAAGGTGATTGAGCATGCATCGGTACCAGATCACAAGTGTGAACGCCATTCTAAAAATCTCTTACATTCGTAAGCCGGCATAGACTAAAAGCTTTCCGATATATCGAAAGCCTTTCGAACATATTTTCAAACCTCTTGATATCTAACTTCTGATTTGACAGGTTTGTTATACCTTACCTATGAAGGTGTTACCGATGAAGCCGTTGTCGAACTCCGAATACCTGCGGCATCTTTAAGTTTGAAGATGCTACAGATATTTGGAGTTTGAAAATGCCTTAACCAGTAACACTTATTATGAATCGTACCCACCAAGTGAGATCAAAAGACTGAAGAGAGGAGGTTCAAAGATAGGATACCTATACATTGTGAATCAACTGATCTAATCTGACTATCGATTGCAAAGGATGTTGAGCCCGGCGTTTCCACTCTTGATCTGATGCGGATGTACGACCGAGCTCCTTCAGCTAAGTGAGTCTATTAAAACTTACATGCTTAATATCAGATGTTAAGGACTTACAGAGTTGTTTATTTCGGGGACTTATTTACCACTACAAGCTCATTCGTGTTTATTACTAAACGGACGTTCTCCGTAGCTCACTTTGATGTCATAACTTGCTAGTGTTCAGTTGAAATGATGAGATTATGAGGAGTACCATAGATAAATTTCATTTGCCCTCTAATTATCATTTGGCTTCGGAGTAGGTAAACTAAAAGCTATTATAAATTCTGAACAGAGTTTATTGTTTAGTAAAAAGACGTCTCTCCTGTAGTTCTAAAGAAACTTTTCGAGAAACCGACCTTCCTACGTTCACTAGACAGATTAGAGCGAACGCTTCTCGACATATCGATAACGCATCAAATATATCTTTCCGATCTTTTCACATCTGACTTCTGACTTCAACTGATTGGGGAACGCTTCGAATATAGGTGTTACTGGTTTATAGTTGCAAAACCACAATATCGGTCGTATCTTCACTACATCAAAATCACCCACCTGAGCTAAAAATCTTCTTCACTATCCCAAAGTTTTCCTCATTCATACGAAATACTAAAGGTTATAGTGAGATCTTGAATGTACACTGAAAACTTATATATACAGCTTTGGTGCAAGGTTGCACGATGCTCTGAAGAGAGGTTTCATGTTTTGAAAAACTTTGTCAGCCATGGAATGACAAGTGAAATAGGTAACTAAAGTAAAAGGAGAGGGAGGGAGAAGAACGTTTCTGGTTTAGGTTCGTAACTCCCAACACATGAATTCGAATTCAAGCACCCAAGAACCTTGTTGATTTTAAGAATCTCGTACTCCACAACGCTTTAGCCACAACGAAAAAGATGGCGCGCCAGTCTTAAGACATTGAAGATGCAACGGATGTTCTAGTTTTACAACTAGTTACCAGTAGCACCTTCTATGTTCGATCGTTCCCAGTCAGATAGAAATCAGAAGTCAGACGAAGAGAGGTAGGAAAGATATATTTGATGCATTACCAATATATCGAGGAACCTTTACTATAAGCTGGCTAATGAACGTAGAAGCTGTGTCTCACGCCGAGTTGAAACGTGATCTGGTGAGGATGCATGACCGAAAGCCTTCAGCTAATCAAGTCCACTTCAACAACGTGGTCAGCATCCAATGTCGAACACTTAATGAGCTATTGATTTTGGGGAATTATTTACAGCTACAGATCACTCCCCCCCTAGTGAGGTAGTGATGCCCCTAAGACGTGACCAGCCAGAAGTTTAAACCCAACGAATTTGTCGTTGGTAAACACTCTTCTGATAGCTTGCTTCGTTTAGCAGCGTCTGGTCGTCTTTCCTTAAACTATGGGACCAAAATGTACAACGTAGCAATAAAGAAATATAGTACAATGAAAATTTCTGTTCGTTGCGAAACTTCGTCGTTCTTTTCCAGCCGTCCTGGAAAAGAGGAAAAATAAAACGTGTGAGTGCATGTCAAAAATACACTCGTACTTGCGTAAGGACACAAGATGAGCGGAAAAAAATAAACTGATACACTTACAAACAGCGTAAAAGCGATCGGAAAAAAGGTTTTTTTTTTCAATATATAAATATATATATATATACGCTCAAAAAAAATAATAAAAATGTTTTGTTTTTTTATAAATAAAAAAAAATGAGCATATTAAAAAAAATTTATAATAAACTATGGAAGGGTAATTCAAGATAAAGCTTATGTCCTACGTGCAATATTCGTTAAGATGTTCTGGAAATCTTACTCGTCTTCCAGAACGCGTTGTTTTAGGTTTTTCTATCAACGTTGACGAAGTAACGAGTTGTGTGTCGGTTGTCGTGTAGGGTACTACGAGTGTAGTAGCTGTGTCGTTTGCTTGCACCAAAGGAAAATCGACGTAGCTAGGGTTTCCTTCTAGGTACGCAGCTTTTAGTCTATCGATACTGATGCTATCTTTCGTACCGTTCTTGTCGACTACATAGTACTTAGGTTCGCGTTGAAGAACTTTGAAGGGTCCTTCTTATGCTGATTCGAGGGGTCGTCGATGTGAGTCTCGACGAACGAAGACGTGTGTACTATGTCGTAATTCGGGTTGAACGAAAACATCAGTTGATTGAGGTCGAGTGTGAGCAGGTTTAGCTAAACGCATAGCGTTTGTAAACCTACTCGTGTAAAAGTTTAGATCCATGTTCAATGAAGAAGCTGAAGGATCTACGAATTCTCCTGGGAGTCGGAGTGTCGTACCGTAGACGAGTTGAAATGCCGTGTATCCAATGTCAGCTTTCACTGCAGTGCGTATACCTAGCAAGACGAGTGGAAGAGCGTCTGTCCACTGTGAAACGTTTGAAGCTGATAATGAAGCTTTTAGTTGTCGATGAAAACGTTCTACCATCCCGTTTGCTTGTGGGTGGTAGGCGGTCGTTCGGAAGCGCATGATTCCTAATAGTGAGGTGAGACAACGGAAAAGTGCAGATTCGAATTGGCGTCCGCGGTCTGTAGTGATTGTGGAAGGGCAGCCGAAATTTGCTACCCATCGTTCGACGAAAGCCCGGGTCACGGCTCCAGCAGTAATGTCCTTAATCGGTACTGCTTCTGGCCATCGAGTGCAGCGGTCTACGCATGTTAAGAGATGTGAGTATCCGTTCGAGTCGGGTAAGGGTCCTACCAAATCTAGATGGACGTGGTCGAAACGAGCGTCAGGGGTTTTGAAAGAACCTAAGGGACATTTGTTGTGTCTGATTACCTTAGATTTCTGACAGCTTACACAGGAGCGTGACCACTCCCTCACGTCTTTATTCATGCCAGGCCAACAAAAGCGTTCGGCTATAAGTTCGATTGTTGCACGAGCACCTGGATGAGAAAGTTTGTGCAACGTATTGAAGACGTTGCGGCGATAGTGTTTTGGTACAATTGGACGATCCCTACCTGTAGATGTGTCACAGAGTAAGGTTTCCTTACCTGTTCCCATCTGCCTAATACTTAGTTTAAGAGTTGTCGAGGATAACTCATGCTGAAGATTAATGTCTTCTTTTTGAAGCTGAGCGAGTTTAAGAAGGTCGATTCCTTGAAAACTGTTCAAGGAACTAATTCGAGACAAGGCGTATGCGACCACATCGTTAGCTCCAGAAATATGTTGTATGTCTGAAGTAAACTGCGAAATGTAGTCGAGTTGTCGAGACTCTCGCGGTGAGTACTTGTCTGAAGATGAACTTAAAGAGAAGGTAAGAGGTTTGTGATCGGTAAAGAGCGTGAATTCTCTTCCTTCGATGGAATGTTGAAAATGCCGTACAGCACAATACATAGCTAGGAGTTCCCTACCGAACGTGCTGTACCTAGATTCAGCGTCTAACAACCGTCTCGAGAAAAATCCTAAAGGTTGCCACGAGTTGTTAGCCCATTGTTGTAAGACTGCTCCGATTGCTGAGTCAGATGCGTCTACGGCGATACTAATGGGCGCTTGACTGTCCTGGTGAGCAAGCAAGGTTGCTTTAGCGATGTGTTCCTTAACTGTGGAAAATGCTTTACGAGCTATGTCGTCTAAACTAATTGATTTCGCATTTCCACGAAGCTGATCGGTTAACGGTTTCATTAGGGATGCGCATTTAGGTATGAACCGTCTATAGAAACTTACGAGTCCGTTAAAAGTTCGCAACTGCTTGATCGTGGTCGGTTCTGGGTAATCCAGAATGGCCGCCACTTTGCTCCTAAGGGGTCGGATGCCTTGGGCATCAATGGTGTGTCCTAAGAAGTCTAAGCAGTTAGTTCCGATTTGGCATTTCTGAATGTTGACGGTAATGCCATGCCTTTGAAGTCGATCGAAAACAATGTCCAGATGCTTGAGATGCGATTCTCTGTCCGGACTTGCTATTAGACAGTCATCAACATACGCATGTACGAAGTTGAGACCTTGGAAGACGTCGTCTATAAACCTTTGGAAGGTTTGAGACGCGTTTCTTAAACCAAAAGGCATTCGTAGAAATTCGTAAAGACCGAAGGGAGTGATGATGGCGGTTTTAGGAATGTCGTCAGTTGCCATCGGGATTTGGTTATAAGCTTTAACCAAGTCGATTTTCGAAAAGACAGTTGTACCTTTCAAGGTAGCTGTCAAATCGTGAATATGAGGCAGCGGGTAACGATCGGGAATGGTTTTAGCATTCAGACGCCGATAATCACCAGTTGGCCGCCAATCATTGCTGTCCTTTTTAGGGACCATATGCAATGGGGATGCCCATGGACTATTCGATGGTCGAATTATTCCTAGGTCCATCATGTGGTTGAATTCGTTTTTAGCTAACCTAAGCTTCTCGGGAGCGAGTCTTCGGGCTTTCGAAAATACAGGTGGTCCTGTAGTCGAGATGTGATGTGTAACATTGCTGGTTACACAAGGTAATTTCGATTGCGATTGGTATATCCCGGGGTATTTGTCGAGTACTGCTTGGTACAAGGGGTCTATGGCGTGCTTAATCGTGACTGGGGATAACCTGCAACCAGAACAAGGAGTTACGCAAACGGACAACTTAGTGTTTCCGTCTATTAACCTTCGTGAGCGTGTGTCGATGAGTAGATTGTGGTGTTGTAACAGGTCAATACCAATGATTGGCATAGAGACATCTGCAACCACGAAAATCCAGTGTATGGGTTTACGTAAACCCACGTTAAGGTAGACGTACCTTTTACCGTAAGTAGCGATCGGCTTTCCGTTTGCCGCCTGTAAACTTAAAACAGACTCGCGAAGTCTGTCGTTGGAATTTGCTGGAAGAACGCTAACTTCTGCGCCAGTGTCGACGAGGTAGCGAACTTTCTTAGTCACATCCGTGACATATAAGAGGCGGCTGTGTTCGCCGGCTACGGTTGCCGTTAACGCGTGCCGGCTGGGAAGTTTCCCGAACTGTTTTTCGTGTCACTCGATTTCGGGGTCGGATAGTTGCAAGGTTTCCTGCAGTTTCTGGAAAACTTAACGTACTGGTTATGATACCAGCACCAGTCGGGATTGTCTGTCTCTCGTGGTCGAGAGCCAGATCGCTTACGTGAGGCACTTCTACGCGGGGTTTTTGACCGACTACGGTCATTGCGAACTCTAAGATATCGTGTGAGCGTGTGACATAGTTCGGCCATGTCAGTCGAGGTCGATTGGGGTTTTTCTTTGACGGAAAAAAGCTCGGCCTTAGAAGATCTAGTGATTTCCAAGATTCGATCGGCAGATGCAGCTAGTTCATCTATGGCATTGTTTTGAAATGAAACAAGCACTGCCTGCACCTGTTGAGGGAGTTTAGACAAGAAAAGTTGTCTAAATAGGCCATCATCGAAAGTTCGTTGGCCGATGACTTCTCTCATTCTAAGCAACATGTCCGTCGCAGAACCATGTTGCAAGTCGATATTGTTAAGGAGTTGGTCTAACCGTTGTCGATCAGTTAGGTCTCCGCGTTTTAAAATCGATAGCTTAAGCGATTCGTAAGGTTCGGAAACATCACTAGTAAACATACTAGGTGTTACGTACCTGTTAAACTCGCGCGGTAACGCCTTAACTACCGCGAGGAAACGTGTGCGCGAGTCCGTGATTCCGTGCATGCAAAAATCGGCTTCTGCATAGCAGAACCAGGACTCGATATTGTCGGGCCAAAATGGCGTTAACTGAATCGAAATAGGGGGAATAGACTTGAACTTAAGAACCTTAGGAGAGTGTTCCGTCATAGTAATATAGATAACAAAAAATGTCTAATTAAAATATATCCAAGGAAAAAAAATTCGCGAAAAAAAGTATATCACAATATATAGAATTCAAATAAAGAATAACAATGAATAATAATATTCCAAAATGGAACAGACTCACAGTATATTGACTTGGTGTACCAGATCACGTCGGGTTCACCAATGATGATGCAACGGATATTCTAGTTTTACAACTAGATACCAGTAGCACCTTCTAAATTCGATCGTTACCAGTCAGATAGAAAATCAGAAGTCAAACGAGAAGAGGCAGGAAAGATATATTTGATTCGTTACCAATATATCGAGGACCTTTTCTATGAGCTGGCTAATGAAACGTAGGAGCTGTGTCCCACGCAGTATTGAAACGTGATCTGGTGCGGATGCATGACCGAAAGCCTTCAGCTAAACAAGTCCACTTAAACAACGTGGTCAGCATCCAATGTCGAACACTTAATGAGCTATTGATTTTGGGGAATTATTTACAGCTACAAATGCAACGGATGTTCTAGTTTTACAACTAGTTACCAGTAGCACCTTCTATGTTCGATCGTTCCCAGTCAGATAGAAATCAGAAGTCAGACGAAGAGAGGTAGGAAAGATATATTTGATGCATTACCAATATATCGAGGAACCTTTACTATAAGCTGGCTAATGAACGTAGAAGCTGTGTCCCACGCCGAGTTGAAACGTGATCTGGTGAGGATGCATGACCGAAAGCCTTCAGCTAAACAAGTCCACTTCAACAACGTGGTCAGCATCCAATGTCGAACACTTAATGAGCTATTGATTTTGGGGAATTATTTACAGCTACAACATTATTGATTGAAAATGGATTGGAGTTCTCTAGCCAGAAGACAAATAAACAACTCTTCTGAGATGGATATAAATAAAGAACCCTTGTATAATCTATCCGGTTCGATGTGTAACATTTCACTTCTGAGGTCATATAGAAGATATCTTTTCTTTTTCTAAACTTCACAGAACGAAACTGACATGTCATCCTACTACATTTGTCTTTAAAAAATATTTTAAAAGTTATTTTTGATTAAACTTAGATGGTAAATGCTTTTTACTGCTTTTTCAAAACCATTTCTTATCATCTGACTGAAGAAGCACAATAACTGCACTTTTATTACACCAGTTTTATGCACTTTTAGGTCATTATCGCGCAAATGTCTGGGGCGCAGTGTTTGGTTGCATAGCAAGGGGTCAAGGAGTGGACGATGTACATAACTGTGTGTTGACTACATATTGTAGTAAAACCTACTTTAGAACTCCAAAACCCTTTCATCATCTTAATTTATGTTCCAGATGAAACTTTGTGAGAAGCTGTGCTTTGTTGGAGCAATGGCTTTTCTTCTTACTACAATGTGTTTCGCCATCATCAGACCGGCGCTTGTGTTATACAGCTTTTCTTTTCTTTTCATTCTGCTATACTTCCTGAGGGTTTACAACTACTGGTACCTTTCTTTTGAATATTGTGGGTGACAAATTTAGGAGGAATAAATACTTATTGTTCATGTTGGACCCATGCTACTTTACCAACTTTGCGTCGTTGATCTTCATCTGGTTAGTATCCGTACTAAAATTTGTATTTCACAGGTTATTGCCGCATTCACACGCCATGCAGTTGTTCCACTTCGGTCTTGCCAATTCGCTAGCCTTCGGTGGGGCGTTTTTGTTCCGTAACACCCTTGCTCTGCACGATATCCAAAGACTTACCTCGTGTTTTATACACATCTTGCCTGCTCTCTTCTCATTCCTGCAAGTTCCTGTTTGTTAGTGTTTTCAGTTGATACAATAAGTTTGCGTTCCACGGAATTTTACCCCATACTGTGTTTTTATAATTTCTTGGTGACTGGAATCGACACTATTCACAACGACTTGTCCCACATGAATCCAGTTGAAATTTAACTAAACTGAAATGTTCTGCGAACACCTATTTTGAGAAGTCTTTAAAGATAATTGTCTGGGGTCAGGAGTTGCATTTGTTTGAAATTTTCGGAGTTCGAAAGGCAGTATTGATGCCATCTAACTGATCTTATTTACAAATGATCTAATTTTACAAGGAAAAATGAAAATCGTCTTGTAACCACAGTGCATCAATCAGTCGATGTGATATATGCGGTGTTGCTCTACTGTAGCAATATTTCTTGATCTGACGGCGTCATATGGCATATCATGGGAATCACATTAGTCTACTGAAGATCAACTTTACGTGTACTACTGGTTGGGTCAGAACTGTCAGTGAACTATCTTCCAGGTTGATCTCAACAAGCAGTGTTTATTAGGGCTACTGACTTTCCTTATGCTTGAACGCTTTTGTCAAAAAAATGATTTAATGGTTTGAGATTTTTTCTTATGACTTGTCAAGGATACTCTACCATAATTCATTTATCTACTAATGTAGATGACATAACTCTACCCGAATAAAACAATCACCAAATGCTTTGGAAACGATCCAGGAATATTTGGAATAATGGTGTCGGCCTCATTTTGATAGATATTCTTACACACGTCTTAAGTTTGTGGTTTAAGCTTATGATAGACTAGAAACCGTTAGCTATTTGTTAATGTCATAGGTTTTGATGTGTTCATTTTTCCAAATAATCTTTTATGTTCATAGAATTCGGTGGCATCCTTCAAAAACATCAGTTTGGTGGTATACCAACTTATATGATTCCCATGCTTCTCTAGAATTGTTGTCCTGGAATAAAGATATTGACTGGTTCTGGCTTGTTTCAGCTCCTACTTTATTCCATTTCATACGTGAGGTAGTTAATGATTACACATTTTTATCTTCCCTTTTTGAATATTCTTCGCATTTATTCCTTTCCTATTTACCAAATAATCCTCACTTTCTGTCTCTGATCGCGCTTACTGGCTGATTAAAATGAGGTTAGACCATCAAACTACAACCACAATTTAAGTTGAATTGTTGATAATTTTATTCCCCCCTCATGATTAGAAATGGAAATTAAGCTCTGTGAATTTGATTAATCCCCAAAGGTGACCTAGTCCCGTAAACCTTATTTATCAGTATTTCTGGGTTCCTAAAAATTGGTTAATTAATTAACAGATTATACCTGGGGAGAGAAATTGTGATATTTGACGGCTTCTAAAGCGATTGAAATGAAGGAAAGTGCATGAAATTTGACTAAAGGATATATGAATTTAGTATGGTATAATATAAGTTCCAAAAAGATGAGTATATAATGATTATTTTTGAACATCAAACATGTTCAGCACCCATTTAAAGCGTTCTACGACAACTATTCTGGATTAATGTGAATGTAGGACATCTGATATTCTTGGAAATTTGAATATATAAGGTGTAATTTCACATATTCTAACCAAATAACGATAAGTGTGAATGGAGCTAAATGTTATTGAAAATGAAGGCTAAGTAGTAGTAGTAGTAACATATTTGGGTCAAAAGTTATCCAGGTGCAGTAAGTTGTAACGAAAATTATAGTCAGTTAAATGGAGTAAGCCATAAAAAGTAAGGTTAAGAGAAAACTGAAAGTATACAAAAGGTGTAGTGCATTAGAAATTTAAGCATTTTAGGATTAATTGTTTTATGGGAATACACAAACTTTATGGTAGTACATGTAGTACATTCGATGCTTCATAAAATAACATTTTGATAGTGTTTGTTAAACATGCGTCAACCATTTAGTCAAGAACATATGGTCCGTATATATATACTCCTTATTATCTAATAGTTGATTTTGTACGCACATAAATGTTACATCTTTTAGATAAAACTGACCTATGAAAGTGAGTCAGCTAGGAGTAGGTCACTCCTAGGTTACTAGGCATATATCGAAGCAGAATACTGTTTGTTGAGCGTGGTTGGTTGTTTTCAGTGATGAAAACAGAACTAGATGCTCAAGTTTAGGGTTAGGAATTGGATTCAGTCGTTAATATATTTGGGCGTTTTACCACCTTTTAAAAAAAAACTAAGTCGTGGCGAACGTTAGTTTAAAATAGTTTATGCATTACGTATTCGTGATATGGCTGAATTGATGAAAACTTGCTACGTTCTTTTGTTGCGGAAACTCCAAACATTTCTGCATTATAAAATAAACTATTTACGTCTTCATTCATATGGTTGTTTTGTTATTGAAGTATATTTATGTATATTCACTTCGTACGTTTTTTTAAGTGGTCAGTGTAGTTGCGTTAATGGTGTTTAGATTTCATTTAAATTATTTGTCTTCATCATCTAACAGTATAAACATATGTAGTTAAGCAGAAAAAAAGATATTTAAGTAACTAAACACAGTAATATTCTTTTATTTTAATTGATACATCCAGCACAGTTAAATTTTGTCATTGTGTACTCTGTTCATCGTTCTTTGATGATCAACTTTGTTCATAGTCTAGCGTAGTTTCAATAATTGTGTTCTGATGTCAATCAACTACAAACTTTTATGACATTTTTTTGAACAGGAGAATATTTAAGTCAAACGATTTACTTATGCGTTAAAAATGCTTGTCAAATAGTGATGTGCATGACTCAGAAATAACGACATCAATATGTTCATATTTCCGTTCATACTTTACCGAAGTATTAGTTGGTGTATTGATGTATTAATTATAAATAACTTCATAATCAGACATTATTACTTTTTTATTAGGTGCTATATTATACTATAATATATGGAATTGTGAAACCCAGTGATGAATATTTAGATAGTTTCCGATATTTACATAAAAAGAAGATTCTATGGCGTTTCCTTTGGAAATATATTGATGATCGGTAAGTATATATATCACGTGAATGTGTTGCTATAAGTATTCCAATGGTATATGATGTATACGATTTTTGGTACAGTACAATTGGAAAGTATTTCTTATTACAAACTGTCAACAACTCTTATTTGTCACTACTAAACCATGCAATGTAAGACGAAATGTTTATTTAGTTGTGCTTTCTCTTCAGCAATCAGTTTTCGGACATTATGTACGTGTATTTATGGTTGCATAATTTCCTAATTTCGATCAGTTTATCTAACTCATTTACCAAGTACAGATTCATTCACTTATCTTGGAGGTAAAATTTAAGCATGAGATCTGGTGGTACTAACCGGTCACACGGACCGAAATAGATGGAGTGGGTTCGAACAGTTGGATTATTGGCTTGGAGCCAAATGCCTCAACCACTGAGTCACCGCTTCACTCTTTAGCAAGTTAACTTGTGCTAGAAGACAGTCGTTTGATTGATGTTTACTAATTTTATGCAATCGTAGTAACTAAGATAGTTGATGTATAATTGTCTGTTTATAGTTTTGAGATATAACTACTAGTTAAGTTGCTCCTTTGTGTCTAGATATTATTATTTCCTGATTACTACAGCAAGTTATGGTCACTACCTGTTATATAACACTGGATACACAACTATCTGTCATTTAATAACTTTAACACTGAGTTTATAGCTCAAAGCCCTTCTTGTATGTATTGTGATTTGGAGAGTTGATTAATGGTTCATGGTAGCGTTGTTATTGATATTTAGATGTATCTTTTATTTTAGAAGCAAATAAAAATAGCATTAGTGATTGTGTTTCACCCCTTAGTCCATTTAATAATGTCCAACAATCCCCAATATCAAGACTAACAGTTTATTTATTTGTTTTACAACTTTCATAAGTAATCATCTGATTTTAGATTATTGAATCATTATCAACATATATCAAATGCCTTGGTACGGCCAAGAGTGGGGAGAGTTCTCTCTCCCTCTCCAAATGCTCTCACATAGTCACGCGTATATAGCCTCTGCCAGGGAAATCCTACTCACTGCCTTCTTGCACCAGGGGTGTTGTTCACGAAATTGAGAGGACAGAAAGCGAATGTTCGGCTCTTTAACAGAGTTGGTGGACACAGAAAGTTCATCTGAGGGAGTTGGAAAACCCTGATTCCAAACCAATGGTGCACATGGATTCCGGTATCCTAAGTGAACAAATAGCGTATAAATCAATCGTTGGTCACTGGCTACCATGTGACTGCACCTCCTTACGATGCTCCATTGCCTTGTGGATCAGACCTTTAGGTCAAAGGCTTCGGATGTGGCCCCCTAGGAAAACTACCTGCTTCATTTTGGGCACTTGGACAGTATCACAGCCCTCACACAAATCAAATGAGATTTTTGTGGCGCATATATATCTGCTACCCCCTTCTACCAATATTTATATGTTTAAATAAATAAATAAAAATGTATAGAATTTTAGAACACAAGAAAATTTACTAAACCAAATCTTATTGTAACATGTAAACGTATCATCATATGTAACAAATATTTAACAGACATTCAATAATATTAATTCTAATGTACAATGTTCTTAATGAATTATGTTTAAACTGACTAAATCAACATTATTAAAGATCATAGAAACAATAAATAAATAGATAACAATAAATGTAATCAATATTATTTTTATTGTAATATATATCAATAACAAAACAAACCTTACTAAATTATAATGAATTAATAAAGTCAAATAAGGGATTATATAAAAATTTATTAAATTATGTTAACAATAGGGTCAATTGAATAAGGTTAATGTTAATGACTAGTTTATTGTATTATCATTTAACATGTGAAATTTCCTAAAAGTCTGATCATAGTTGTTCTTTTTTTATTATTCAGTTGTCATCCAATATAAACAGTTTGATAAATATAAAGGATAGAAAAAAGACTACAATTTTTACTCAATATTTTCTTCACATCATTTCATTGATTTTTAATCTCTGTTATTACTATTATTAGTAACAAATTCATTTAGTATTATTTGTTTGAATCTTTCCATTGATGTTTTTAGGACTGCAACTGGTCAGTCTCTAATTGGCATATGTGCATACTGTGCGTATTGCCTCGATATAGCCTTAATCCACAAGCATTATAAGCAAAGATGGATAGTGGCTAGCAGTGAAATCCAGGATGCGCATTTCGTCCTATTTGGGACTTGTCAGCTGGATGTACCTGCATCTCAGAGTTGATGTTCACTCTGGGACACGAACCCAGTCTCTTTCGCTTCAAGCAAGTGGCTTTCAGGACTTAGTGGTCAAGTGGATAACGCGATGGCGTTTGAAGCTAAAGTTGCTGGGTTTGAATTCCAGAGTGAACATCAACTCTGAGATACAGGTACATCCAGCTGACGAGTCCCAAATAGGATGAAACACGTGTCCCGGATTTCACTGCTAGACACTATCCATCTTTGCTTATTATTAGTATTGTTGTCATTATTATTACTACTTTTATATTGAAAATAATGTTATTAATATTTGCCGTGGTTTATAAATTACATTGCTTGGATCATCAGAGGGTCGATTTCTTTAAATAAAGTTTTTCCTAGTCTATAGGTAGTCTATTGTAAATTTCGATAGCGTAATGAGACGACGAAGATTATCAGAACTATGTGATGATATATTAGCGCAATACATTTCGAACAATCTGATCACACATATACTTGTTAAGAACATTTATATATAAAAATAAAAGGTTAACTAGACTGAAAATGGGGGATAAGAGGAGACAAGAATGATAATAATAATAATATGAAAACAATTTGAGACCTGATCACTCTGGATAATAAGCTAATATAACCAGGGTAGGTTTAAGATGAGAACGTCGTAGTTGTAATACAGTACAAACAGAATTACTAAAATGTTTCAGTGTCATTAATTTTCTTTACAGTTAACCGAAAGATTATTTATGATAAATGTCAAAAAAAAACGATCTAAGGGGCTTTTGTCAATTAATGTTCCTTTTATCCTACAGTTGTGATAGGTATGTGTTTCAAGTAAACATGTATATGACTAAACTTGAAAATGTGTTTTATTTTCAATCAACTAGTTTCATAAACATTAATTATGACTTCGAAAAAATTAAATTAATTATACTTATCAGAGAAGGGGTTTTGTGGGGATTTCAGTATTTTCATAGTTGAAAGCGTGAGTCAATTAATTATTCAGTTATCTTAAGCTTTAAATAGGGTGCAATTGTTAATTGTAATGCCATATCATAACTTTTAGTCTTTATCTATTCCAATATGCAATTGCAGGGTAGTGAAACATCTGTAAGAATCAAAAATTACCAGTTAAGATTATAATTTTTTTTTAAATGTTGATTGTCAACTAAAATATGTGGTTCTGTATCTTGTACTTAGTAAATCTCCGATTAAATAATTTTTGTCATTTTAATAAAGATTCTCCAAACTAAATTTTTAACATATAACCACGAACGAATATTATGTATGTTGACTATTGTTTGAGACTGTTCACTTGATCTTCGTTGAATAAATTATTATGAACCTTCATTTGCGTTCGCTCTCATACTTTTACTACTTCTACCACTATGGAATTTGAATCGACAACTGCATCTCTGTGCTAATATGGTATGGCGACCCGAACTGATGTACGTACGTACGAAGTTCTACGTTGTGACTGACTGACTTGCATTCGATACAAAACAATATATTTATTAAGGACTCCACTTTCTCTCACCAATAATATATTTCTTCTAAACTTTCATTGATTTATAATCATTAAGATTAGGCTTTAGGATATTAAGAGAATATTGGATTCTAGGACGATTAACTTATATAAAGCGACTTTGTATTTTAATTGAATGAAAATCCGTAACAGTGAATGACTTTCATCAGTTTCAATGACCTTGTGTTATACTTACTTGTTTAAGTTAAAACTATTGTTTTCCATATGAATTAAATCTAATTTTAATCTAATATACAGATTGTTATATCAGTTATTTTATTCTCGGTGTCCTAGTAGCATATTTTAATATTGAGCTATGTATAAGTAGCTGTGCTTTACACTGTTATTTAATTTCCAGTGATACAGAAATGGTATATCAAGCTAGTCAGGCAAATACATAACACCAACTAATGTAGGTTATAAAATGAAAATTAAGTTACATCTATTTAAAAGAAGTATATGAGGCAAACTGCAAGAAATCGTTATTCAGGCTATTTATTTATGTTACTTAGTTAGTAACACTATCCGGCTTTCAGAAGTAAATCGAGTTCAAACTTGTAACCTGATGATTCGTGAGCTTCTCAAAAAGTCAATTCAATATACTTAATTTGTTAAATTTTGCTTTAAATACTTTTACCAATTTCTGTGTGCGCTTTGTGTACTTAGGACTACACAAACATAATTTTGGTCACTACTCAGTGAATAATCAATTGCTCGTAACTCCTCTGTCTTATAGGAGGTGATCAGTCTCTATCCGAATAGCTCAATGGTGTAATGCCTCCCGTAACATGAAGCTGGGTGATGTGGGTTTGAATCCCACAGAAGGCGATATATCCATCAATATCGCAGGTACGCTTCGCCAATGAATACTGAATGGCATGAAACGTAGGTACCTAATACAAATAAGGAAATGAATATTGAGTTTATTTTTACTTATCACATAATAATTTAATTTCCAACTGAATACTCATTTCTGTTCCGTATTAATATCTCTATTTCATTTTTATTCATTTATACACTAGATGGCATTTGATTAGTTGGATAGTTTGCAGTATCTTACTGTCTACAATTCTCTTATTAGTTGCTGTCGTCGCATGGTGCAATTATCTATTTCATGCATCTATGTTAATTATCCAAACATTAACGTTAATATGGAATGGTGCATGTTTTTATTTAGACTTTTTCCCTATTGAATATACACGTAATTTACGAATAGAACCAGAGCAAGGCATGATTACTATAACTAAAAATGAAAATCACATTGATAAGAATAATGATAAAGAAATAATTGATGAACGTATAATAAACGATGATGTTTACAACAACATAGCTGCTAGTGTATTTTCATGTTATCCAACACCAGATGAATCAAATTCGAAAATTTATGAAGATGGCCATATGACAGTTGATGAACAAAAGGGATTAAAATATGAAAGTAATACTTCTCATTAAAAGATTACCATGATTTCTGTATGATATATATATATATATATATATATATATATATATATATTCACATGATTATTGATGAGAAAAAGTTTATTCAAATCATTTCTTACACAATCAAACTGCAATGCTAATTCAATTTCTTATTACATTACTGTTTCACCGGTCTTCTTTATGCATAAAAAAGCAATCAGTACTTTGAATTATTATTACGATCATCATTTGAACGGATAGTTATCATCAACAATTTGACAGAAGAATATATATATATATATATTAAGCCGACTCAGTGTAATTACGTACATGTATCATCCTGTATCAAATCATGTATAGATTTTTCATTATTTTAACCTGTTAATTTAGTGAAAAACGGTATAGTCTCGTGGATTTCTTATTTCACCATCACCATCATCTCCTTCCTTTATTTACATTAATTCATTTCCCTCTATAATGAATATTTTGTGAATTTATTTCTCAATAATCATGAATTCTGCATACTTCATATATTGGAAGCAATAAAATTCCTTTTTACAGATTTCTATAGAGCAACATTAAAAAAAAAAATAATTTTGTCTTCTTATTGTACTTTCTTATGTATTAAATTTTATTCTTTAAAAAATGAGGTAAACTGTAAAAAAAATTGTTTTTTTTAAAAATTATTTATTTCTAGATAGATCCAGTTACCATGACTATATTGTTTACTTTATAAATGTATTTTATAATGATGTAGTGATTAATGTATTTTAGCATTTTGTTTCTATGTATTGAATTCTATACTTATAAGATAGTTAATTCATGCATTCGGTTATATGTTACAGTTTAAGTGACTGTACAAACTTTTAGTCATCATCATGTTAGAAACTTTCCCTATAGCCTAATATATCCAACCTTATTATGTGTTATTTATTTATTTCAAGTATCATTTGATAATCAACTGGAAAATTACACGCAAAAACAAACGAACAAACATTTTATTCTCCAGTTTTTAAATGAAAGATAAATAGTTAATACCCTTTGATTTTTGTTTTTTTGTTTTTACACTTTTCAATTATTTAAGATTAATACAGTCATTTTTGTATATATATATATATGTATAAATTTAATTTACTTTCGATGTGTTTATCTATGAAATATAATTAGAATGTGAGTTTATTTAAATTAATTAAATCAGTTTGACAATTAACATATTTCTATTATATACATTAATTTTCAACTTATATTTTACAATTACATCTAAATCAGTATTAACATCATTGAAGCTGTGACTAATTTATTCCGACCATATCAAATGTCAGGTAATTACCGACTAAGTACATTGAAAGATCATTGTGTAATATTACGAATTGATTGATAATAAACATGTAAACTACTGGATACTGACTCGATGTTTTCAAAGTTAAGCGATTACACGCGAAACCAATCGTCCTAGATTCAATTCCTTGTGACAGAGTCGTAGACGTACACTGTTGAAGAATAATATATCTTTAAATAAACATTTGTCCTATACTTCATGGTGCCCCCTAAATTTTCTGGTAAAGCCGAGACTGGGGAGGTTCAGCTCTCCCTCTTGAAATGCTCTCACATGGTCACGCGTATATAGCCTCTGCCAGGGAAGTCCTACTCACTGCCTTCTCGCACCAGAGGTGTTGTTCACGAAATTGAGAGGACAGAAAGCGAATGTTTGGCTCTTTAACAGAGTTGGTGGACACAGAAAGTTCATCTGAGGGAGTTGGAAAACCCTGATTCCAAACCAATGGTGCACATGGATTCCGGTATCCCAAGGGAACAAATAGCGTATAAATCAATCGTTGGTCACTGGCTACCATGTGACTGCATCTCCTCACGATGCTCTACTACCTTGTGGATCAGATCTTTAGGTCGAAGGCTCCGGATGTAGTCCCCTAGGAAAACTACCTGCTTCATTTTGGGCACTTGGACAGTATCACAGCCCTCACACAAATCAAATGAGATTTTTGTGGCGCATATATATCTGCTACCCCCTTCTACCAATATTTATGTGTTTAAATAAATAAATAAATCACTATTAAAAAATAATTTTTTTTATTACTAAGTCTTACTGACGTAGTTGAATTCAATTATATTTCTTATTTGTTCTAGGTTAATTGTTAAGAAACAAAAACAACCTTAATTTGTATGTTTTATATACCTAGATTAGCTGGAATTTTTTTGTTTTTTTTTGGGTACGTGATACACATACATTTGTTTGTTTGTTTGTGTAATTATTCAAGAAAAATGTCACATTAACAATAATTAAATTATAATATGTATTTTCAAACTCGATATTAACTGTACAGAATGATACTAATTCCTAACACTTTATTCATTAAATTTAAGGGTAATTTGTTCGATTAAATTATTTTTCTTTTGTCACCTAAGTTTATTATTATTTGAAAGTGATTTTTAAAAAATCAGAAATCAATAAAAGTTAGAGGGGATAATGAATAAAAGTTTTTTTTTTCTTTTTAGCTTAGCAATTGTCAATGAGGTAATGAACAATATATAATTGAACCATTGGATCGATTATGAATGGTTCAAAGTTTCTTAAATTTTACTAATAATATTGATTAATGATGAAAAAATTAATTTTTTAAATGTAAAAAATTCTCGTGATATGTATTGTTGATTGAACTGTATATTCGTATCCTAAGCTCGTCTCGTAACCCGCAAACTAGAACTATACAGCGACTTGAACACGAGAGAAAAGGCACAAAATATGCGGTAAGCACTTTACTCCAAAGGTTCATTTATGTATAGAAAATATAGGGTTTTTATAGTATTTTAGAAGTCCTTGAGCTTTTCTGAAAATTCTAGAATACTTCTAAACATAGTAGCAGTGTAGTAATTAGCCAATCAGAACCTATACATATGACTTTTCATTTTCGTGATATTTCTAGTAAAACTTCTAATCAAAAGCTGATTGGATAAAAAATGCTTCTTAATGTTTCTTGAGCTTGCGAGTAATTTTCAGGATCGCCCCAATATCTCCTTAATATCACTTAACCATTGATAATTGTGTGTTCATTGCTGAGTAACTTTCAGATAGATTTCTTTTAATCGTAGTAGAACATTATGATTTATATTACAGTTACCTAACCGATTATAAAAAATTGGTGATATCAAAATATCACAGATTAAGTGAAGTGGACTATTTGATTTCAGTGGTGTCGAACTCATTGTTAAGCCTGCAGATCATGGATTTAATCATGTTTGGATGAAATTTTTCAAACGAATACAAAACAGCTTTGCAATTTACCATGCTTTTTTTTCTAGCTGATATCAACTTTTAAAATCTAACTATCCATTGAATTATACAGTTACGTAATATAATCTTATTAAATCATAATATCAACCAAATCAACTGTATAAACTTTTTAAGACAAAATATGAACTTGAGATTGTAAGTAAGATAAGTTTGAAAGAAAGAAAAAAACTCCCAGATGGTGAAAATCTCATTCCGAAGTGGGTTTTTTTTTCGAATTCACTCTACAAAAGAGATTTGCGTGGTAGAGATAGATAATTTTGTTTGATTTTTTGTCATGATAAATGGTACATTGTTTCCATCATTTTATTACAACCCTACAAGCATATTATGATTTTCACAGTTTGTTTGCTGAATAATTCTCACTAATTTAGGAAACTTTTCCTTGTTATTGTTTTACCAATATTTAGAATTTGATTATCGCATTAGAATGGACTTTTTAGAAGCTATTTTAAATAATAATGTCCAATCAGTGCCATTTTCCCATTTGGACTCAATTTTAGTAGCTTCAAGAGAAGATAACTAGCTGTATATTTGTTTTTATTACAATGTAATCCTTGGGTGTATGTTAATTATAAATGGATTATTTTCACATTTATTATATATATAGCGCTCTGTAAACTGTTATTACTGATTATAGTAAGTGGTAAGAAGAATTCAGTCTGAATCAGTCTTGATGGTAGCAACTGTTAAACAGTAAATTAGTAGACAACTATACAAGTGTCGAAAGCTTCACTCAACATTCAAAATCTCATCGGATTATGAAACAACAGTTGGTCGCAATTTCTTCAATGTTAATCAATACACAATTCTTTAAATAATGCTGAAGGGCCATTGGTTTTTTTGTCTTTTTTTTAAAAAATTCGATAATGTTAGATCTTTTCAAAAATATCTGTTACAGAAAAACAAGATAGTGGTAGAGTATGTGAGCAGTTCATAAGATATTGACAGTATTGAGTAGAGAATTTCGTTAAGATCATGACATTTATAGTGATTTTTACAATACCTATATGAGTTTATTCTAGCTTCTTCATTGAAGAATGATTTTTTATCTTGTTGGTTATTCTACAAACCATATATTTGGACTTTTTAATTGTTCACATTTAACCCTGAACGTTTTTATACATGGGTGAATGAAGGTACAAAGGAGTCTACCTGCTCAAGTGTATTTCGCACATCACACATAAAAGCTGATTTGATGTGTTACCAAATTGCACGCGCTGTTTATTCACCGCATATTTTGTCATTTATCTGACGCTTAATATTCAAATGTACATAATATGCCTATCCTCAATTCTTTCTTATATTAGATTTTTATCCCTACTTTGTATTAATATGATCATTTGACAAAATATTGTAGTGTCGGTTGCTATGTTAAGCCCATATAGCATATTCGAGCTTCCGGACAAGCCAATTTATTCATTTTACTTGAGTTACATTTTGACCTTGTTAATTTTTCGCCTATCAACCTTGACTGTTTTTATATGGTCATAAATGTGTCGGTTGCTGATACCACTCATCAAATGTCTGTAACTTATTTTTGTTCTGACTATAAATATTGAGTAAAGCTCAGTTAAAGTGAGTTGGTTCACATGCCTTCTCCACTGAGTGTCGTTTCGCCTCACTCTCTTTACTTCGTTTCTTCGATCGTTTGTCTGGATTAATAATTGTATAAAATATACGTATTCGAAATCCATTCTCGTATTTGATTTATTTAATTCCGTTATTCACTAACGCGAGTTAGGTCGTTTGATATATATGACGATAACCAG